CATCGGCAGGAATTTGCGCCGTAGTCTTAGACTTCGGTCGCGGAATAGGAACGTGCTTAGCATCGCTCAAAGAAACAGCCTTAGTCTTAGCTATAGGCTTAGGAACCATTTCCAGAAAGTCGAGTCTAAGACTCAGACAATGGGTGAGTAACTGCTGCGGCGCAATGTGAGGCGAGGACCGAACAAATGATCGTCGATACCAAAATGTAACAGCCGTCTCTTACCTTAGCTGTTTTAGCGGAAGCGGAGGGTCTCGTCCACGATTGACGACCCAGCGTTAGGCGCGAGAAGAGACAAGGGAAGTCGGGATTCGAAGACATACGTCGAGAATGGTGACAGCGGAGTCTCGAACATCCGAACACTGGTATAGTGATACGATAAGTGTCTGGCCGAAGCACTTCACCTGGGTGGCTTAAATGCGGCCCACCTGCCGCCGTCTCCATTCCTGGAGTCTTGGTGTCGTACGCTAGGTTGTGATAGCGTACCAGAAAGTGAGTTCGTACAGTTAACGAGTATGGTTCGTAAATACGGGACCGTACCGTTACTGTGATTAAGCTTTAATAGCTTAAAGATATTCTAAGGTAAATGTAGCTTGCTACACAAGGACAGTGTCCCCGTAAAGGTTTTGCGGGGTTACAGGGGCCCCCGTAAGGTTTTCGGCCAGTACAGGAGCCTGGTACGGGGGCCCCTCTGTAAGGAAAATTTGGGAGGTACGGGGGATCCCGCAAGTTTCAGGAAGGTCAGTGTCGAACCCTGCTGTACACGACAGTTGAGCGAACATTTGGCAGGGGAAGCAGAAACGTGGCTGTAGGACGAGGGGCAACAATTCGTTGTGAAGGAGAGGCCGATTGGGTCAATGGGCCAAGAATGTTTAGGCCGTGTGCAGAAGCGGTGTTGTGCTTAGCCTAAGGGTAGGGTTTTTGGAGAAGGGGGAGGTGCTACCGGGGCAGCGACGGTTTGTAAGGGAGTTAAGTACTAATGTTATGTACATAATGCTGTGCATTGAGAAGGTGCGAGCTGCGAATTGGATGTCTAGTATACTATCAGTTTTCTTCTTTCTTTCGTGGCAGGATACAGGATAGACGGATTGCGGCTTTGCTGGGGGATTCTACGGTGGCCTTTGGAGTGGGAGTTAAAAGGTAGCAGTGACTGGACGATAAGATACTTCAGAAGCGAGCAGTTTCTACCAGATGGGAGGGAAATCCTCGTCACGGCTCTAGCGCAGGATGCTATGACTATGTGACGATGGTGAATTACAATGATGCTTTGTGCAGTGCTTTTTGATGACGCGTGTGCCGGTCAAAGATATTTCGCTTGTCCGGTGGAAATTGGAGCTAAAAGCCAATTGTGGCAAGCCCACGGGGGACAGGAGAGGGGCGGCGTTGTATGTGTCGTTTAGTGTCGTCTTGCTGTTTGTTGACTGTTTATCTTCGTGTGGTGGTCGCCCCGTTTATCACTGCATTTGGTGTGCGCGGTGATTCATGCGGGTGATCTGCAAAGAATTTTCATTTACAATTATGCATTTTTGTCTCGCGAATCTGGGATTCCGAAACAAATGCAGCGACGGGGGACAGGAGAGCATGCACAGGCATAAAGCGGGACACGCATATGCAGGCTGTTAAGGATGCTGCATGCACGCGGGGGGTGATATGCAGGGTGGTACAGTCCGATCGGGTCCCGACAGGAATGGCACTTGTGCTGAAAATCCCGACAGGCTTTGGAAAATGCTGTCGGGCGGACCCGACGAAAAAGGGGGAAAGCGCCAAACGGCCATCGGGAGCCCCCGACGAGGCCCGGAGGGCTCCCGTCGGGGGACACGACAGGGTTAGGGGTGCTAGGACCGCCCGATCGGGTGCTGTGGGTCGTCGGTTGGCCCTCCGGCGACGGACAGCTACAGTGATACATAATGGCATTCATACAAATATAACTGGATGGAAATATGTAATGTAGTGGTAGCATTCATTCACTTCGTTGCCTCTTCTTCTTTATCCTTTGACTCTGCTGTACAGGGATCCATGCTTCGATACATAAGCGAAGGGCACACTACCTTATCTCGACCTTATTGACAATTAATACAAAGACCATATGCAGCTTTACATTACCCTTTCGAACGTTTGCTGCCTCGTTCTGTAAGTCTGTGGGCTTTACCAAAACAGCTTTCTCAAGCTGAACCTGCTCGACCGTTGGCTCACAGGCAGACGTGCAGGCGTGCATGTGTTGCTGTGTGTGTGTGTGTGTGTGTGTGTGTGTGTGTGTGTGTGTGTGTGTGTGTGTGTGTGTGTGTGTGTGTGTGTGTGTTCGTGCATATCAGAACTGTGAACTGCAAACTGAGAACTGGAAACTGCGCATATAAAATACGAATAAATGTAATTTCAAGCGGCACACAACGAAATTTCGTTCTTGCGTCACCCGACAGGTTTTGGGATGGGCTATCGGGGCACCCGACAGAAATTGAAAGATATGCAAAAACGCTATCGGGTGGGGCCGACGGGCATGGGACGGGGAAAACCGGCAACCCGACCATTTCAGGAAGGTCCTGTACCACCTTGGTGATATGCAGCCCAGTCTTTCTAGTGGGTGTGCGTGCACGCACATGTAGTCTACACTCGCATCATCGAGTAGCGAATTTCCCCCCAGGTACATATCACCTGGTTCGCCACCGTAGCGGATCATCCCGCCCTTCACCCCACGCCGTATACCTCGCGACTGTAGCTACCCAAGTTTCCTTCATCTCCCCTTCCAACCGCACCCGCGCCCGCGCCCGCACCCACACCCACACCCGCACCTCGCCTGCTACGCTGTCCCCCTTTCCCCTCTCACCTCCACCCCACATCCCACATCCGATACACACACACACTTTCTCTCTCTCACCTGCCATCCCCCTAGCTCAGGAATATCGTCCGTAGTGTGAAGAAGACAGCATTCCAAAAAAAGCCAGGAACAAATTTTCGTCTATGTCCTGGCTCTTAGTGTAGGGAGCCAGCGCCGTACACCGTACATCGTACATGGGGTAAGAAAAGGACCTTAAGATATACGTTTGTTGGGGAAAGTGTACCTCAAGAGCCCAACCCCGCCCATCTTTGCTCGTCCCATCACATCTCATTGGTACACGAAGCGAAAAACATACACGCTCATACTCGGATATTGTACGACACTGTTTCGCTTCTCTTCTTCTTCTCCTTCTTCAGGAACCTCGCCCCACGTAATGCGCCTCCTCGCACCTCGCGGCTTAGTTTTGGCAGTGTGCCTTCTGTACGGACAAGTATGAAAATGTGAAATACCTCAACATCCCCTTTCCCATGCACAGGTATTCGTATTCGTAAACCCTGCCTTCCCCGGTATTTCGGGGCACCCTCATCCAGTCACCCTAGTCAACTTCTCAGTGGATCGCTCAGGTTCCGCACCCACCACCAGCATCCAATGGAATCTGCCGGGTCGACAGCGGCCCAACTCCATTCCTGGTCGGCTCGCAGGTTAACTTTATCCCAGGTCACCACCGTCCGTCAACTAGGGGCGCAATACCTTCCACCATCGGAAGGATTTTTGACCCGAATGGGTATCGATCCCGGGATCTCCCGGGGCAATGGTCGCGCGCTACCAGTAGTGCCAAACCCTAATATGGTGACGTGATCGGTTAAAAAACCGCCACCACCAATGCTCACCACCATTACCACCACTGCCACTACCATCACACCAACAAAACAACAACAACGAAACCTTAACCCCCACGCGATAAAACCCCTCAAACCTCCAATCCCCAAGCAGTAGCTGGACAACACCCCTCGCACTACCGCTCCCGCCAAACAGCGTCCCCTCCACCTTCCCAGTCCCACGCCCGCAGGCCCAGCCCCGCACCCCTGTGGCTTCTGTCACCTCCATTTTCACTAACCAGCTTCCTCCTACCGAATGCAGCAGTAGCACCAGCACCATTACCGGCACCCGCTACAGCCGCCGCACCAGCAGTAGCAGCAGCAGTAACAGTAGCAGCAGCAGCCGCACCGGCATCCGCTACAGCCGCCGCACCGGCAGTAGCAGCAGCAGTAACAGTAGCAGCAGCAGCCGCACCGGCATCCGCTACAGCCGCCGCACCGGCAGTAGCAGCAGCAGTAACAGTAGCAGCAGCAGCCGCACCGGCATCCGCTACAGCCGCCGCACCGGCAGTAGCAGCAGCAGTAACAGTAGCAGCAGCAGCAGCAGCCGCATCGGCAGCAGTAGCAGCAGTAGTGGTGCCCTCCCAGCTGTCCCAGCTGTCACCAGGAAATCGGTGGCGAAGTGCCGCATTGAGGCGATACCTTGGTAGCCCGGGAACCTTGACTTCGAAGTAGCGGCCCAAGCTGGGGTGATGTACCTGAAAGCGTTTTAGGGTTTTAGAAGTTAAGGGTTTCACGGTTTTAGGGTTTTAATCACCTGAGCCGTGGGAACGCGATTTGCGGACATGTATGTGTATGTGTGTGTGGATATGGGTCGAAGAGATTTTAGAGGTAGGTTAGGTGGTTAGGTAGTTATGAAGGTGAGGGGACGTCCAGATGACGGGTTGAGTGTCTGGAGTCGGGTGGCTTAGGAGGGGGTAGCCGGTGGTTGGGTTCGTGTTAGGTTATTATTATTAAGTCCCCTCTATCCCTTTTGAGTTTGAAGCAGGCGACGCGCGTGAGGGAGCCCCGACGGCCCGGTCGGAATGCGAAACCCATTACCGCCTCATGCCTGTGGTACTGCATCCACAGTGGGAGATGGAGGAGTGAGGGGTAAGGGGTAAGGAAGGGGTTTTGTAGGGGAAGGAGAAGGGTTGTGTTAAAGCGTGGCGCCTGGTGTTTTTTTAAAGGGGTGTCGGCGCACTCGGCAGGTGCGCTAGGCGTGCCGCCCAAAAGTTTGGCTTCTCATGGCTAAGCATGTACAACTTACCTCGAAATCGTACGGCACTGCGACCATCGTAACGCCAGCTTCTGCAAGATGCTCGTACGGCTTTGGAGGGCGCGGCGGCGGCAGCGGCACTGCTGCCTCCGCCTCCGCCGCCGCCGCCGCTGCCGTACCCAGTGTTGAAGCCGGCGGCGACCTCACCGCCGTGGGCACTAGCAGCTGAAGGTTCACCTGCGCCACGTACGTCTCCTGTAATATTTCAGTTGGTGGTTGGGGTTTTTAAGGTCTTGGTTTTAGTAGTTAAGTAGTTTCATAAGTGGTGCATGTACATATGTACATATATACCTCAAGATTGGATCCCTCCGGACGCATCGAGTCGGTCGGACCGACTCGGTCCAAGCAGACATATTCTAAGATTAAGAAGATCGACCCGCCATCACCACCATCATCATTACCACCATCATCATTACCACCATCATCACCACCAGTGGCATTAAAGCACATGTGTGTTTTTCCCCCATCACCCACTCCCCCCCACTCCCGCCACCCACCTCAGACCGAGGCCGGTTGTGAAGTCCACGCAAACGGGACCCCGGACCCCGAGGACGCCAAACCTGAAGAACACCACCACCACCACCACCACCACCACCGCCGGCGGCATTTCCGTGCGCTGCTGACGTTGCTGCCGCCGCGGCGGCGCCGCCGCCGCCGCCGCCGCCGCTGGACCTGCCATTACTACTGCCGGCGGCGGCGGCTGCAGCGGCATTGCAACAGCCGTTGGCGCTGTTACCACCAGCGCCGCTGCTGCTGCTGCGCCGGTCGCTGACTAGGACGCGGTAGAAGGGCTGATTGCGGCCGCGTCCAGGGAGGGAGTCGACACCCATTTGCCTGATCCACTGCAGAGAGGTACCGCGGGTTCTAGGTAAATGCGGTGAGTAAATGTATGTGAAGCTCGGTTAAAGCGCGGTTGAAGAATTGGTTAAGATTCTTTGAGATGGTTGCGGCGGTTAAGAAATGGTTGTTGGGGTCGGTTAATTAGGATAAATGCACTCGAACTAAAAGCTGTTATCAGCCATTTCACCTCGTGCACGGCAACACAATATTTTTCACTGCGCCGAGTTGCCGTTGTATCATTGAATTGATTACAATTTATAATGAGTTATTATGAGTCATATATTATGAGTCAATTTATGAGTTATATGAGTCATAAGAGTCGTACACAACACAATTTGTAAATTCGTACCGCCTCGGTCATTTTACATCTTGTATCCCAATCGACGATGACGCCGCGATAGCCGTACTTGCGATGCTGCAAATATTGCATAATATTGCGGAATAAGCTTCTTAACAGTAATAAGTTCCGACGGACAGTTAGCAAAGTGACGTCACATTTGACGGTTAGCAGTTGCCAGGGTGGTTGTTTGTACGACATTTTATGTTGGTTCTGCAGTTAAGTTACGGAGAAGCAAACGGCACGATGCCACGCTTCCCCTGCATTCACTCATCATGCATTTTCACACGGTAAATGCTCTCCAAATGTTGTTTAGACCCAGCAAAACTCCCCTCACCTGCACCATGGTCCCCACGGGGAACAAGACTCCGGGCGGCCGGTGCTTCTGGCTCACTGAGTCAGCTTGCCAGGCACTACGGCGGTCGTCCAACTCCCGCCGCCGCTGCCGTACAAGTGCCGTACAGCGTCAGGGTTTGGCGGGGGAGGCGTAGGCATGTGAATGCAACGGAGCCATGGGGGCGCGGGGAATGGAAGTGCATATGAGGAGGAGCTGCAAGAGGGTGAGAGGTGCTGAGGAGGGGAGGGGAGAGAGGCATCCCAAAGTGCTAGAGAACGCGTCCAAAACACATATTCCAGGGATTCCCTCCCCTTTCCTAACCCCCTAAACCACGTAGCCCTTGCAAGTATGAATACCATACAATCCAGCGTACCAGCCCATACACACACACATCATACATACACAGGCATACATACAGACAGACACACAGGGCACCTGGGGCGCGCCACACAGTCACACACATCACAACGTACTAGCCAACCCAAGACAGCCATGCCTCCCCCACCCTCCCACATGCCCCCTCGCTCGGTCTGCAAGCATCCCCCCAATCATCACCACCGACAACAACCATGACGGCTAATTGCCGAATGAGCGTAAGGAAACATAAAACCTTCCTTAAACCCTAAAAAAACCCTAAAACACAAAACCTTAAAACCTAAAGCCTTAAAACTCTGAACACGCTAAAACGTACCCTGGATATGTGCGCCACCAGTTGGTGCCGCCGTTCCTCATCCGTACCGTCTGCCGCACTTCCAGCTCCAGGCACTTGAAGAGCCCCCGTGGCCGTCCGCCCCAGTGGCGGTGCAGCGTGTATCTCGTTCGGAGCTCCCGGCTGCGGAGACTGCTCGAAAGGTTGAGGCGGCGGTGAACACGGCTGCATGGCAGACAGGCCCGCCATTACCGAGTCCAAGCACTCCGCTGCGTCCCTCCAGTCCTCGAGCGCCAGGCTCACCCCGTAGCGGCGAAGGAGTAAATTACGTGACTGTGAATACAATCCGTACGGCATTGATGGTACGGAACACGTGAATGGTATGCGGTTTAATTATATAATTTTAGGTGAGCATTCTATTAGCAAGCCTTCGTAGCTTAGTGGTAGAGCGTTCCCTTCGTAAGGGAAAGGTCCTGAGTTCAATCCTCAGCGGGGGCAACATCGGAATTAGTAAACCTATGCATATATATATATATATGTATGTGTATATTTATAACGCACCATCTTAAAGTCGGTTGCCACATCTTTACTTATTCACCGACTTACCACCGAGCAACCGGCAGCACTCGTACACGTACCTGGCCCGCCACGGCACCACACAGCTCCAGGATTAGTCGTACACATGTCATGTCGTTACCATTCTGCGCAATATATGGAGGGGGTTCCCCTTACAAGGGAAGTTCAACACCAGGCTGCACCAGGCCTGTCCATGGGCGACACCACCACACATCTACAACTCGGTACACACTTTTTTCTTTCTCCCTTCGGTATGATCCGCGTACATGTGTACGGCACATGGACCCTTATTTCTCCCTTCGTCATAATCCGTACTTGTGTACGGCACATGGACCCTTATTTCTCCCTTCGTCATAATCCGTACTTGTGTACGGCACATGGACCCTTATTTCTGCCTTCGTCATAATCCGTGCATGTGTACGGCACATGGACCCTTATTTCTGCCTTCGTCATAATCCGTGCATGTGTACGGCACATGGACCCTTAATAAGGAATGGATGCCAACCACCTCCATGCGCACATACCAATCTAAACCAATCTAAACCAATCTAAACCAATCTAAACCAACATGCAGCCACCTCGCCCTCCCGTCCATGACACTTCCCGTTTTGAGTTTCACACCTTAAGGGATACCCTTCCCCGCCCCAACCCCTCCCCAGGCCAGCAGACCCCCCTTAAAACGCTAAACCCACCGCTGCAGAGTCAACTTCTCACCCACCTGGTAAATGCCGTACAGATTGGCACACATTCGTTCGTACATCCGACCCGGGCTCAGGGCGCACACGTCACTCCGCTCAATAGAAATACCAAAGCCCGCCATTTTCCGCCTGTACGTCAAATGTACGGTATGAGTAAAACACTCAATTTTACTCATAAACTCACGACAACCGTACAATACTTGTACGAACTTGTACGCAGCGGTTATTCACGGCATTTTCATGTCTAAAAAAGCACAGCTATTTTTGCTTATGACAAACTTATGTCATCAGGGGGGGGAAATAGTCAGATCAGGTATACCCAAAACACTCACCTTCACAAAACAATTTATTGCTGATGCGGTCCGGCTCCCACCCAGACCCCCTCCCGCAAATTACCCCCCATTCTCGCCCATCACCATCATGCGGTCCACCCACCCACCCACCCACCCACCCACCCTCTCACCTCAGCTGTTGCCAGGTAAGAACTGTACCGCCGCCGTACACGTCAATGAACACCTCCTCATCCTCCTCCGAAGTCCCACTTCCACTTCCGCTACCAGTACCACTACCTCCGCTACCAGTACCACTACCTCCGCTACCAGTACCACTACCTCCGCTACCAGTACCACCACCAGTACCACCACCAGGAGCACCACGGGAAGGACTGCCGCCGCTGCTGCCCCCGCCGCCGCTGCAGGGCGCTGAGCTCCCGGTCCTGCCCCCCCCGCCGCTGCAGGGCGCTGAGCTCCCGGTCCTGCCCCCGCCGCTGCCGCGTGCTACCACCCCCTCGCCTTCCGGAACAGTTGGAATAAACCTGCCATACACAATCGTACACACAAGCATACAATCGTACGCCGACATATCATATGCCAGTGCTTGTCGTACCGGCTTCGCATATCATTTTTTCGACATACATACAAAAGTACAACACGCTACACACCGCACACTGCTACAATCCACGACGTGTTCACGACACGGCGTTTTACCTGTTGCATCATGGCCATGCCACTAACATTTACACGACGTTTTACCATGAACATGGTACGTACGGCACATGTCGTGCACTGTACGGCACCCCGCAGTCGTACCTGGTCACCACGCGCGCGGGCAGTCCGATGATCTCTAATCGCCCTCCAAGTCCCCCTCTCCTAGCCACAGCCAGTTGGAGCAGTGCCAAGGTGATGGGAATGCCCCGTCGTCTGGCCAGCACGTCACACAACATAGAGTTTACGGGGTTGTAGTAATCTCCCGCATCGCAACCGAGAAATCCCAGTCCGCCGTCGGTGCCGGCAAGCTTGGCCAGTACGGCAGTCTTGGCGGCAGCTGCCGGCGTCGTGCCCGGTGTTGGTGATGTCGTACATGACAATGGCGGCGGCGGCGGTGGTGGTGGTGGCGGTCCGAAAAGAAGGTTGTTGAGGATGCGGAGGGCCTTATATGGAGATTGTACGGCGGAAAGCGCCGTGAGGGGAGAGGGTTGCGGTGACAAAGTTAGTTGGGTTTTCCGTTGGGCGTTGGGCGGGTGGAGGGGGTGTGCGGGTCGTTGGAACGGGGTCCCCAACGGTGGGGCGGAAGTTACGTGATGATGGAAGAATTTTAAAGAAACAACTGTCAACAACCACCAACCACCACCATAACCACCACCACCTGGAGGGAGGGGGAGCCGGTGGTCCTCGTGGTGTGTTTTGGATGGCAGGGTGGGTGGGGAGTGGGAGGGCAAGTGGGGCTTTGGGGCGGGTGGGGAAAGCCGGGGGGGCCGCCGCCGCAGAGAGTAACATCTTCCGTACTTCAAAACAACCCAGACACACACACACCCACACACGCACGTACGGCTATGTAGCCTCCCTCCCGCCCTCCCTACATACATACATACGTACACACACACCGACCTGCAAAGACCCCGGGGGAGCCCCCTCCGCCGCCATCCGCCGCCCAAGCTCCCCCCCCAGCGCCCCCACCTCCACCTCAACGCCGCTTAGATCGGCTGTGGGGTAGTGCGCCTGGGCCTGTGTGTGTGTGGGGGGGTATGTATGTATGTATATATGTATGTATGTATGTACTCTCAGTCGAGAGGCAAAAGTCCCTTTCCCGGTTCCCTCCCCTCTCTCCTTCCCATACGCACAAATACACACACAAATACACACACAAATACACACACACTCAGCCCCCGTTCCCCGCCCCCCGGCCCCGTCCCCCCGACCTCCCCGCTTCATTCGCCAGTGGTTCGTTCGTCTTACCCCTCCCCCTCTCCCCCCACCCTGCGTGCCTCCTGCCCGTGTAGCTCTCCCACCCAACACGCGGCGTGGAACCAACGTGTGTGCAAACACAAATGGTACGTGTCCAAACACACAAATATACGATGATGCTACTCTTGCTGCTGTTGATGTTGATGGTGATGCTACTGCTGCTGCTGTTGATGTTGATGATGATGATGATGCTACTGCTGCTGCTGTTGATGTTGATGATGATGATGATGATGTTGGTAGCCATGGTCATTTCCCCTTCCCCCCACGGCTCATTGGGCCGCCAAGTCGTACATTCCCCCTCCCGCCCGCCCGCCGCCGTGTCCACCCCAAACCTCCACTCCCCCAAACTCACGATGGCCAGCGCCCCCACCTCCAGCCGCTCCTCAGCGACCCGCGGGTCACCAGCCACCCGCTGAAGAACACATGCAGCCTGGCCCTTCCGGATCGCCGCCAGCGCCTGTCGCATCCAAGTGGATGTGTTTTTTTATTGATTGGTTGGAGTGGGGGGTGGAATGTGTTGCGGGTCCCTCCCCCTCCTCCCCCTCCCTCCCCCTCCCTGCCCCTC